CATGCGAACGCAGAAGGAGCTGGTGCTATTGCATAAGGAGCAGAATGGTCAGCGACCTACAAACACTGTTCAATGGTTAAACATGAGGTCGTGGGTGTCCAGTCACCATCACATCCAATGTCCGAAACGGATGTTCACTAGGAGATCGCAGTACAGAATTGTAAGCGATAATTATCAGATCAGGCAGTCTCCCTAAATCACATTTACTTATATTTTATTAATATCTTTCTTCTTCTCTTATAGAACGAGTTGTATTCCAAAGTCCTCATGTCCGAACCAAATGTACACAGCGATTTCAGCAGATTAGCGCGATGGCTGACCGGCACTTCGGTAGGTCTCGTATTGGGTGGGGGCGGTGCGAGAGGCGCTGCCCACGTGGGTATGCTCAAAGCCATCATTGAGGCGGGTATACCCATAGATATGGTCGGCGGTGTTAGTATCGGCGCTTTCATGGGCGCCCTTTGGTGCATGGAGAAGAATATCACTACCACCACGCAAAAGGCCAGGGAATGGTCTAAGGTGAGACAGAACGAAATTTTTTCCATGATTTCTATTGATTCTCCGTCTCTTGTGCTACGGTTTTTCCTAATATACACATTGGATTTTTAAAATGAGATATACAAACTTATAAAATTATTTCTTTTATGTCTCCTAAAATCTTGAAATTCATTCAGATTTTATATAGAAAAAAAATTTTATTTATATTTATTTTTCTCTCAATAATTACTTTAAAACCCTGTGACTATTCTCGGATCGAGAAATGTTTTTGTATATAAAATGTTATATATTTTTATCTGTCAGCAGAAAATGACGCAATGGTGGCGGCAAATTTTGGATTTGACTTACCCGATGACTTCGATGTTCTCCGGTAAAGATTTTAATAATACTATACAGCAAACCTTCGGCGACACATACATAGAGGACTTGTGGCTTCCGTATTTCACTATAACCACAGACATCACGGATTCCTGTATGCGCACACATAGACACGGTCTGTATGAATTAATCATCTTGCATTTTTTAGACATCGGCAAAGCTTTCAGTTTTTTTAATTCTTGTATGTTCTATTAATATTTTCTACATCTACGATTTATGAATGCAAAAATTACATATATAATAATTTTTTTAATAATTTCAAGAATTGTATAAGTGTTAAATGTAAACAAATTTCAGATATGTAACTAAAAGCTTTGACATATCGTCAAAAATATGTACTTGTAGAATATTTAGGGTGAATCAAAATATAAAGATGTAAATGTTGTGTTTTATTTTATAGACAAACAAATAAAATGTTCAAAACTATTCGCGATAATTAGTTTCGGATGCTTGAATTAAAAGTAAAAATATCCAAAAAATTATTTCTTCTTGATTCACCATAAATTTGTTGTGGCATGATGATGTTTTGTTTTAAACGTTCTTAGGTACATTAGCATAGATCATGATAGTAGAATCTTTAACAAACGGGAGTGAGCTTTCCGGAAAAAAAAAAAAAAAAACTTGTTGACGTACTCTCCGTTTAATGCCGTTTTTTAAAGAGATAACCGAGCAAGGCATATTTTTGTTTTTACTCGAATATAAGCTGCAAACTAATATATCATACATATGCTTCCTGTATACATACTGCTAAATTATAGTATCGAGGAAATTTGCAATTGTTCACAATTCAGCAAATATTCCTATCTAAAAATTTGTTTCCAAAATATATTATTATATATATTATAAATTTTTTTAATATAAAAAATAATATTCAATGTAAATAAAGCATTTGAATGAATATCTGATCTTTGGACAAAATATAAATATTCACCTGTATTCACCTTAAATATTTTTATTAAAATTGGTTTTAATTAAATTCACCAGTAGTGGTAGTCTGAATTGATAAATTCTACTTAGCGAAATTGATCTTTCCATAGATCATATAGCACCAATTATAATATATATACAGCGAGAAAGTTTAATTATGATTAAATCATAACTTAAGAATACAGGAAGTATTCTAAATAATATATACGAGTAAACACAGAATATTAAAGAGAATGATTCGTCGTGTTTAGGATCGCTGTGGCGGTACATTCGGGCCTCGATGTCATTGTCTGGTTATATGCCACCCATGTGTGATCCTGTTGACGGCCATCTCCTGCTCGACGGCGGGTACGTCAATAACCTTCCAGGTAACTCAGATCGCATTGATGAACACCATGTGTTAATTTTGCACAATCAATGCAATCAGGAATTAACCGGAAACAAAATTATAACAATATAACGTATCAGTAAATGTCAAAATAAATGTCATAGTATGAAACTTGTGTAAAAGATATCTAATTGGAAATTTTTATATACATATATATATTTTTATATATTGATAATAAATTTATATAAATTTGTATATATTTTATATTATTATTACAAATTTATATAGTTGGGCAATTAATCATATTACATTGAGCGTACTTCTTTTGCAACAAATTACTAGCTCTTTATCAAAATTTAATCACACTGGTTGTCTAATTTTAGTGGGACTTTTGTATTAAATTTGATACGTTGTTGAAAATCTATTTACGAATATTAATAATATGAAAAAAAAAAATTACGCGTCAAGCTCACTCCCGTTGATAAAAAAGGTTGCATTTACGAAATTCTGAATAGTCAAGTCGGCTCAGGTTTACTATGGAGATATATTCGCGGCAGTATGACTATCGCGGGGGTCTTTCCTCCGATTTGTGATCCCCTTGATGGGCATCTTTTGGTCGACGGATGCTATGTTAATAACGTGCCAGGTATTCATTCTATCTGTTCATGTTAATCCTGATTGTATCATCTCTCAATATAGCTCTCATCACAATATAGAAACATATAGCATAATACAAAAAAATGTGTCTCTATGAAGAAATATAATACATGTATAAAATAAAAAATGTAATTTCGAGATGAACGAGATAATGTATCATTATGATACAAACTCTATTACATCCTTACACAAATTAAATCTTTATAATATCAAAGCTTAAATTCTAACAACGAATTGATGTTAACGTCCTCGATTCATGCGTTCCCCACATTTCCGTTCAAGCTGACGAAATGTTGCGGCAAGGAGCACATCACATTCTGGCCATCGACGTCGGCTCACAGGATGACACCGATCTGACGAATTACGGGGACTCGTTGTCCGGCTGGTGGTTATTATGGAAACGATGGAATCCGTTCGCCACACCCGTGAAGGTGCCAAATCTACCGGATATTCAGTCCAGATTGGCGTATGTGAGTTGTGTGCGCCAGCTGGAAGAGGTGAAGAGCTCGGATTACTGCGAGTACATCAGGCCGCCGATCGACAAGTACAAGACTCTCCAGTTCGCCAATTTCGACGAGATCAGGGACGTGGGATACCAACACGGTATAAAATTTTGTGTATTTATATTAAAAGTCTTCAATTTGTAAAAAGTACGATGCTAAAATAACAATTTATGGCTTACACATATATCATAATGAAATATTTTTTAAACAAATAGCGTAATAAAAAAGTATTCGTATGCTTACTACGCCCATCTGTAGAGATGAAATGAATCGTGTTCTCCAGGAAAAACGTATTTCGAGGGTCAATCGAAAGCCGGAGTTCTGCCTCGATTCAATGCAGATCGAGAGAATGCGAGAGCTATGCGAGCAAAGTGCCAAGCAGCTAATCAACAATCAGGCTCTTCATACACTTTCACCGATCTCGCACAGATGGTGTGTAAAGTTTCGCGTGTTAGCCGGTATATCGATTTCGACATAGATATGGATTCGGACGAACTGGAGGAGTACGAGGCAGACCTGGAAGAGGATGCACAGGAAGTGGGATATGCGTCCGAACCCACTGCCGGTATTTTAGACCAAGTGAGTTGTACCTTTCATTATTCTTATTATATATATAGTTTCTGTATATTAATCATTGATAAAATGTATTATTGTAATCGGAAAAATTGGATCGTGAAAAGATATAATTTATTACATAACTTATATTTTTCTTAAAATATTCAAATGCTGAAGATTGCTCCATAACGACATAGAAACTATAATGTTTATCACATTTTGCAAATTGCTAAAATATAGTAAAGATTTTCTCTGTTGTATATATACATAATTTTGTTAAATTATCTTTATATGAAGAATCACAGCCTATCCGTTTATACCATTCGTTTTTTGCCTCACCGTATATGAATATAATATGAAATCGATTTTTATTAAAAAGATATTTACCTTTATTTCATATATATAACATGATAGTAAAAATTTAATAAATATTCCTTCACAATAATTTATAATTAGAAATGCGTTTTAATTTATTTTAGAGCCCTGAGGATAATCGCTTAAGACGAAGAACTGGCGTTTCGCTTAGCTTATCCGATACCGAAGCGGAGTCGGAACTAGAGTATCATGCGACGATCTTTTGAATATTTGTTTACAATTATTTGCGATACGATATCTCACTGTCCGCAACTCGCTCAATGAGATAAATTTAGCACAAATCTTTCAATGCGCATACAAATCAAATTCACTTTTCACTGAGCGAGCCATTTCACTCAGCGATAATCTACATCAAAGTACAAAAATAATTGTTGTAAAAGATATAATCATTGGAACATTACTCTGAAGCTAGATCACAGTACGATGTGTATATCGGTATACATATATCGTAATAAGTGATTGATATGATTATTGTTATTATTATCGCTCTATTAAATATTGTACATTAAATATATAATTCTACGATTTTTAAAAAAGGCATTTCTTATTTTAACGACTTTTTATTATATTGTTGCTAATTTATCTTTTTATAAAACTCTAAATTTATACAAAAATTCATTTCCTGCAAAATATTTTTATAGGTAAAACCTTTAGAAGTTTATGCAAAGTAAAAAAAAAGACTAAATCTATCACATAATTTGTGTTTAAAATAATTCTCATTTAATTAAATTAAATTAAGGAAATATATGGAAGAGATCAAGTATTGAAGAACAAATATCTTAACAAATAAAATTTTAATCGCATTTTGTCACATTAAAAATCACTGCTCATTGTTAAGTTAGGATCTAGAATGGTTAATACCGCGCCAATCAAATGTAAAGAACCCGTTACAAGTACTTCCATTTTATCGTTCCTGGTCATCTTCAATGATGCATATCTTTTAATGTCAACAAGTACTTCGGAGACGTTGTTCTTTAGCACCGAATTTTCACCCCACAATTCGCAGTGTTTCTCACATTTCTTTCTTTGCTCGTCCATTTTATTTTGTGCATAATGCATTGAATTCATATCCTCTATGCTAGGCACTCCAACGCAAGTTGGGGTGAAATAAGTTTTGTCGAAATCCAGAGATTTCAGCAACTTTAAAAATTGTAGAGAATCTCGGTTGCCAGTAATGTTAAATATTAGAAATTTAGTGGAGGTTTTCCGACTGACTCTCTTGAACCATGATATGCAATTATCGATACTCTCGACAGTATGTGCGCCGTCCAGAAAGAAATCTGCCACACTGGTTCTCAGGATTTGCGTGCGACCCGGCCATTTGCAGCTTGCCAAAGCGGCCGCGGTTTTGTTTAAATAAACGATTTGAGATAAATCAACCTTATCGTTTTGGTAATTATCGTGAAAACCAGTGACGTATTTCGTATCGTTTACAATCAACGGCGGCTTATCGCATCGCGATTTCATCCACTCGAGCGCCATGCTGATCGACAGCGAAGCATTCTGTTGCTGTATACTGTTGAGACCCACCGATGAGAAGACATCGTTCCATTCACGTGTTTGAGTTGCAGGAACCACTCGCAAGCCGCGGCATCGTCTTTCCGCGGCTCGTTTCTGTAGAATGCGCATCGCCAGTTCCGGTTGCAGGACCGTGAAGGCCGCAGCGTGCGGTTTAAAGATCCCTGACTTTTGATAAGCGATCTCTTCGATGGTATTGCCTAGCAACAAGGTGTGCTCGAGACCCAAGCTAGTAATACCTACACAGACTGGATTCCGCACGACATTGGTACTATCCAGTTCGCCGCCAATTCCAACTTCAAGGATCGCCACGTCGATGTTTGCTTCCAAAAACACGTGAAACGAGAGAATCGTCAGGAATTTGAAGTACGTTGGCATGTCAGATTCGCATTCACGTTTTTGCTCCAAGCGCCGATAAATGTCCCAAAAGTAATGGGCAAAATGCGACTGGCTGATCGGCTCGCCATTTAATCGGATACGCTCCCTCACAGAGACCAAGTGCGGCGAACTAAAGAAACCCGTGCTAAAACCGTACTGCCGCAGAATTGCTTCCATAAACGCGCACGTTGTGCCCTTACCCTTTGTACCAGCCACATGTATGACAGATAATCTGTCCAGTTGCTCCAGAGTGATACCAGATCTATAGTGTAATATAGATTTAAAGTTACTGCGTTTGGAGTTATATATGCTATTTAAATCAAATTTAAAATACATACACTTAATAATAAATCTTATAAGTAGTGTTTCTTAGATGAGAAAAATTAATTAAATCTCTCGAACTTAATTATATTAACATTATAACAATGATAGAGCTTTGTTACCGGAGTAAATATTTTTCTGTTTCTTTCATTTTCTTAGGATTATTCACATCATGCTTAACAACAGATTGTAAGTATGCAGCATTACTTTGTAAAGTGTATAACACTTTTATAGCTTCCTACAAAAATAATACATAATATTTATATATTTGAAATTAATTTTTTATATCAATTATGTAATTTAACTGTAACTTGTTCTATTCTTGAATGATATAGTGCATATATCACTTAGCATGTAATGATTATGATAATATTTCTACAATAATATAAACAATGTAAGCACAGTCTTAAGAGAGAACTATTATCTTGTAAAATTTTTATATAACTATAGAAAAACAATAAATTTAAATGATATAATTAAATGTCAAATAATATATTTTACATAATTCTGCCAGAAATTGTGATTAAAATTAATTTAGCTGTTCTTTTTCATTAATAGCAAAAATATATAAAAATTTTTTAATTGTAGATAATATATCAAACATAAACAATTCTTTAAAATATTAAAGTAGATAATTATAGAATGTATTTACCTCGTAAGATCCACCAGTATGGGTAGAACGGACCAAAAATCCATTGTGCGTCATTTTCCTCAGCAGAATAAACATCGGAATCCAATAATTTCGTAATCATGGAAAAACCGATAAGAGAGGGGACGAGCTCTTCTTTTTTATCTATCGTTCTGTGCATGTCAAAGTGCAAGCCACACAATCGCGAAGGATTGCATATAAATGCGCAGTATAAATTTTGGAGGCGATCTTCGAATATTCTACGCGTTCGAACGATATATATATTTCAAGTGTCACCTGTCAAAACAATGTAAAGCAATACTTGATTAAGTCGACTCGGCAGGAGAATCACGTTGGAATATCGTGAAGGAATTTGCAAAATAATTCCGCATATATAAATTCCACGAAAGGCCTTAAACTTGTTTGTCATTATGCAAAAAAACTTGTAGATTCACTCTTCCACCTATTTCCATGCTTCTTGCTTTATTGTTCGTTTTTAGTTCAATAACATTCAGTTCATTTCGACGTTCGATTACTGTGTAAAAGTTGAAATATAAAAATGATTCTAAAGAATTATAGTAGAACAAGCACACATTGGGATGCATATTAAATGCGCTATTTCTCAAACAAATCGTTAATTTAATTTTAATACGCGCGCGCGATAACAATTATTTCTTCCCGCTACAAAACACATAACACGTGTTCGTCACGTTTGTTTTGATTCCAGTTTTGTGAAAGAGTAAAGTCCAAATTCTTATAAGGTATCATGACAAGCTTTGTCGAACGTATTGGCTGCTATTGCAGGAAACTTTCGAAACCCTAGAAATTCTCCATTTGACAGCCAATCAGTATGTTTGACAAATATGATCCTAAGAAATAAGATTTAAATTGGCCTTCCTGTCAATAACTTGGAGTCTATACACATATCTGAGCAAGAGTGCAGAGTGTAAATTCGTCTTAAGACTTGTTGCATCGATTTACAAAACGGTTTCGAAGTGTAATCATTTTTAAATATTTAAATCACATTAATTCTTATATTTTCTTTTATATACTTTTACAGGTTTTAATATCAATTTAGAGTTAAAAAAATTAATAATAATTTAAATAATTCGGGGAACAATTTTTTTATTACATCTATTTTTTACACTTTCGGTTTGTTCCTTTTAGCCGAATTTTTTGGATTTCTCGATTTATCCTTTTGTTTTTTTGAACTTCTAAATATATATCTATCTCATTTTATTTCTAGTTCGGGTAAAAAGAACAAACCTTTTATAAATGCTCAGGGAATATTATACGCACTTTTCTAAGAATTGTGATATCTTCAGGTTTGTTGTTTCTTCTCCATTTACCTTTTGAATATCATCAGTTATAAACTAAATTGGTGAGAAGTCTTTTATATTTATTATAACTAAATCTAAACTAAAAATGTATTAACTAAATCTAATAACTCTCTAATTCCAATACTATTATTTTTTTCATGATAGTTATCTCAAAGAAATTTAAAATGTCTCACGCGGTTACAAGTGATCGTATACGACAGGACGACGAAATGACTGCTCTTTCCAGTATTTACAGCGAAAATGAGTTCTCTTGCACCAGAAACGAGCAGATAAAATGTACAATTAATATATTTCTCGAACTTAATAGGAAACTAGAAGTGAACTTCACTAACTGCTGCTCTTCCAACGCAATCTCCGATTCGATCGTCTCATGTGATAAAATTTTCGTCGGACACCTGCCACCGGTCAGATTGTACACTCAACTTCCAAATATGTATCCATCTCGAAAGCCACCAAATTTCTGTCTATCTGTTATCTGGCTGACCCCCTGGGAGATATCTTTCGTCTGCCAGAAATTGGATGAAATATGGGAAGAGAATCAGGGCAGTGAGATCTTGTTTCTATGGCTAGATTTTCTACAAAATGATCTTTTTAATTTCCTCGGCATACAAGATTCTTTAGATGTTTCCTTCATGCACATAATTCGCACAACACCAGGTGATCGTATCACATTCCACCTGGCACGCTTAGCTGATCGCAGAGCTGTAAATGGTGCTTTGTCTTTAGACATCAAAAAATTGTTAATATCTTACGACAGAGAACAGCATAAGAAACAATTTGATAACAACTTTTACACTTGTTACATATGCTTCGAAGAATATAGAGGACTGCATTGTATAGAATTGAAAAACTGTGGACATGTTTACTGCAAAGACTGTATTGAGGAACATATACGTATTAAAATTAACGAGCACATTAAGATTATATCGTGTCCAACGTTAGACTGCAGTTTCGAAATAAACGATAACGATATTAAAACTCTTTGTCCGAGCTTGTTTTCGCGATATGAAGAACTCTTGTTGCGAGTAACGTTAAACACTATGGACGATGTAATATATTGCCCGAGAATTTCATGTCAAAATCCAATGATTAAGGATCCGAGTGATACTGCACCAATTTGTCCCATTTGTAATTATTGCTTTTGCATATATTGCTATAAGGTATATATAAGGCATATATTGCTATAAGGTATTATTACGAAAGAGATAAATTCTATCATATAAACAGATAGATTAGATAAATATTGCTGGATAATACATGTATTAATTATTACATAAACAGTTGTACCATGGAGCTGCGCCATGCGAGATAGCATCAGATGACATTAAGAAGCTCATTAATGACTACAAGAATAGTGATGATAAGAAAAGAAAGCTTTTGGAAAGGAAGTACGGTAGGCGACAAATACAATTAGTTGAAGAAACTCTTACAACTGAATATCTGCAGGTATCTATCACAAAATATGCAAGATTTAAGATGAAAATTAATAATTAGATTAAATAATAGGAAGATTTAAACAGCATTATTGTTAAGGACGACTATAATTTCTAGGATAACACGAGAAGTTGTCCCAAGTGCCATTCTCTCATTAGCAAAATTGAGGGGTGCAACAAAATGACCTGTAAACATTGTCAATCTTGTTTTTGCTGGCTGTGTGGCCAGCAAATTACTTTAATGAATGGATATGGACACTTTACCAGTGCCAACAGTCCGTGTTTCGGACGTTTGTTCGAGGGTGTAGAAGGTGACGGTTACGATAATTTCGAAATAATGGAGAATGTAATTTGGTTTGAAGTAAATTTCGATGAAGTATTGGAAAATTAAATAGAAAAAAAGAAAAATCCGAATGTAATTAGGATCTTCAATATATACAGTTATTTGATTGCTTTATTGTTTATAATATTACAAGGATATTATGAGAGAAAAAATAATATGATGTTATTAATATCGTTAATCATACATCATTATAATTTATACTATTATCCATATCACAGATTTAGTTTTTTTTATTTTTTGCACATATTTATTAATTTTTCTAAAAATCTCGTGAATTCTAAAGAGAGTTCGTATCTATGTGATATATACATATCTGTATATAAAGATATGTGAATCTATCTTATATACTTCCAAAAAAAAAAATATATATATGTGTATATATTTTTGTATTTGGCATATAAAAATCTAATAAGAATACCATGTAAGTTGCAAATATAGCACTGATCAATCTTTTTTATATTGCACTTTTACTTTATAGCTTATAAGGAAACATCAATATAAAAATATGCTGTGTATACATACATAAATATGTAATATACAATGGATAACAATAACTACTTTGAATAATATCAGACTTTCCGTTACCAAGTTTGATGTCAAAACTCACGTGTCTCTCGATACGTGGACTTCGATATTTGCTTCAGTGACTAATTGCTCTGCAACAATAGAGACTGCAGATTCGCGTCTGATTTGTAAAGATTGATTCGTAAAGATATCTGGAAATGATTACAATAATACAACAAATCAAAATACTCACTGTTTTATAAATTATAGATTTAATGTGAAATAACATTTTACCTTTACAATTTTCATCACATTTCACGAGTGCTTGTTTGCGATAAAACCGTTGCATATTTAATTGTACAAGTGTAGGACCGAATATCCAATATCCTAAACATCCTCCAATTGTAAGAGCGATTGTGAAATAAGCATTGTATGTCATAACTGCCATCATCAATATGTAACCGAGTATAGTGTGAAAAAACCAGTGTAATACTTGCAATGTCCATTTAGAGCAGATTACGCTGAAAATATATATTTAATGTTAATTCAAGATAAAAAAACATTTATATAACTGCAGAAAAAATGCATTATTTAAAATAGGAATAAATAAAATTATAAAAACAGGAGTAATATATATATATATATATTCTATAAATATTAAAAATACTACTGCTGTTATATTGTACTTATGTAAAATGTGTAAGTTTAGAAAGTTATTAATACTTTATATATTTATGTATATATACTTTAAATAGTAATTCTAATTGCTCCGAAGGGAAAAATAAAAAATAATATATACCATCTTGTGGAAGTTCTAAAATTCTTTGGTGTTACTTTGGACAAAAGAGAGGAACTTTCAGAAGAAGTTGAGGCCGTTCTAGATACAGATTTTCTTCCGAGACTTTCATGGCCTCGTACAATACTGCGAGTGCAGCCAGGCCCAAGCACGTTGCCACAAGAGCCCATACCGTGGTGATGTTATATCCTGGAAACAGGAAGTTATCTAGATTCACACCGAACCAATACCACATATGCATCTGCAACATAAAGAGACAAGTATTTTTATAAAGCATACACTGCATATGAATAACAAATAAGAAAACAGCTGACCTTAATCACTCCAGTTCTTTCTCGCACGCCCACGATTCATGACGAACACTCATGACGATTGATAAGCCGCGCGTTTACAAATGTCTAGACATTCTATCGACCATCAAGCCTTATCTAAAGCTTCATTAGCTTAATTAAAAATCGCGATTAAAATAAGCGAATTACGTGCACAACTTTTCTTCGTTATCATTATTAGATCACACAATATTAAACTTTCTCGTGAGTTCAAACACTAGGGCACTATTAACATATACTTCCGCTCTCAAAAAATTAATTTGTTTATTCTATATCTCTGGTACAACCAGGTACGCGAGATCGATCGGTGCTTTTAATAATCATATGGAATCATATATATATATATATATACATTAAATAGAGAATGAATTTGATTGGCGCATATTCCGGTCTCCCGTAGATTCAACAAATCGTAACAAGACGCGAGACACGAATGCCCTAAAGCGATAAAAAAATATAAACCGGTTTTCTTAATAAAATTTTTCCTCTCAATAACCGGCATCTCCTTAATAGAACTGATCCTGTTTTTGTTTGTGACACGCGAAACAGCTGACAATTGGACATGATTCACAGTGGATAAATATACAACGAGACGGTTGAATAGTGATTGAACAGGTGATTGTTCGAAAGTGTCAAACGGGCGCCCCTCGTCGATATAAACAAAAAAGTTTACTATGCAAAATAGTTACATATATTTTGGTGTATAAGTTTTTTTTTTATTTTGTTCTAGAGTTCAAACACATTCTGATATAATAAAAATAATGTGTTCGTCGACAAATTTTGCTCTTCTCCTTTACATTTTGTTCATCGTGAGGACAAATGCAGATGTAATAGGTAAATAGTCGTATAATATATTTTTTTTTACCACTTCTTCGAAATTCTCGACATTGGTAATTTTAATTGAACACTTTACTTAACTCAGAATATTCGTAAAATCAAGTTAAATGAATCAAGTGTCAAATTGCTCGAGAAAACTTGAAAATAAGTTTCTTGTGTCTAGTATCAAATGTGTCTAATGTCAAAAAAAAAAAAAATATATATATATATATTTTAGAGCTATTATTTTGTATTTTATTCTCTGTATATTTATTATCTTTTTATTAATATTAATTATATTATTTGAGAAGAAATCTTAGCGAAAATATTTTTAGAACCCAATGATGTAGTGGTGGTGATTTTAAGCCAAAAGGAAGGCTATCATGCAGCTCATGCTGATTATATGCGAAGACAAATCTACGAGCAAGCTAGTGCTCTTGAAAAAGTAAATTACACAACTTTAAAATTGTTTCTTCGTGTTTTGCTATGATGTAGATGTATCATACCTAACTTATATATATTATCATGTTCTTTATATTACAGGAATCGCCAAAAGTTGTATTGTCTCATGAACTTGACATTAAAGGTTCCTGGACAATAACCCCGTTATTGATTTATTTGTCAGATAAATTTCCAAATACAAAATGGTTCTTTTTTTGTTTAGAAAACACAATGATTCAATTAGCAAAGTTGTTAAATGTTCTTGGAAAATTCGATGCATCTCAGGTAAGTTGTATTTTTGTTGTGTTTTTCAAAAAAAAGATACGATTTATTCTAAATAATTTATTTACACAGAACATATGGATTGGACATGCACTTTATGACCATGAACCTACTATTATTCATCACTTTGCAAAGAATATTAAGAAATTTAAATATCCGCTTATGGCAACTGGATTTGGCATGACTTTCAACTTGGTAAACAGGTATATTCTCTTAATTTTTTTGTTAAATAATCATTATTGAGATGGCAATATAAATAATTTTTTTTCACACGGACATGGAACTAAATAATTAAAAATAATATAAAAAATATTTAATAAATTTAAAATTATATGAGAAAAAAAAGCTGTTTTTCTAAATATATTTTCTCTCTTTTCAAATGTATTGTAATAATTTGTTTTGTGATAAATATATTTTATGTTAAGTTAAGAATTTAATATTTTAGTTTGTCTCAACAAAGCTATGAGAGCTGGAAGACGGATTTTTCTATTGATGCATCATACGAATTCGCGGAATTCGTCTTAAAGAGCACAAATGTGAAATTGATGCATATACCTAAAATATGCATTGTGTCTGGCCCTGATTGTGCCACGTATCCTCGATTCTTTCATCCTTGTGTATGTCTAAATTAGCTAAGAGTAATGAACACCATCTCTCTTATAGAAATATATATAAATTATAAATATTTTCCAATATTTGCAGAGTTCTTCTATATCTCTAAAAAATGTGTATTTTGCTGTTAAGACTTGTGCCAAATATCACGTAAATAGAATTCCAGTAATTAAAAATTTATGGGCCAAGCACGCAATAAACATCGGATATTTTAGCGATAAAGCCGGTATGTTTGATCATTAAAATTGCGCATGTTCTGATATAATTATACTTCTCACAAGTTGCTAAATTGTTCTAGTGTAGACAAAAATTTACGGGAGGCGTATATCGTACCGAACACTACTGAAGGACATTGCGCCAAAACTTATGGCATTTTGCAGAGAGCAAGCAATATGATGGAAAGATACAAATATGATTGGCTTGTTATCGGCGACGATGATACTATATTCAGGTGATTATACATAAAATTGAGGAGATTATTCTCAAAGTTAGGGACTATATGTCGCAAAGCTATGAAAAACTCTCTTTTGATCTTTAATTTAAAAACAAACGTTATTAATACATATGTACATTAACTATATATATGGCTAGTATTAGAAATATGTTTTTTAATTGCCCATTTGCACAAATAATTACAATCTATTTCAATATATTACAGCGTGGTACGTTTACTACGTTTGCTCACATGCTACAATCCTACGCACTCAATTGCTATCGGCGAACGTTATGGTTTTCGTATGTGGAACAGCCATCACGGATATCAGTACTTAACTGGCGGTGCGGGAATTGTGTTATCAGCTCCCTTGGTTCACAACATGATAAAAACGGGCGTATGTAATTGCCCGTCTGCCACTACTCCCGATGATATGTATCTCTTTGGAGTCTGTTTATCTCGACTTGGAGTAGAACCTGTACATTCTTCGATGTTCCACCAGGTATACTTGCAATATAATTTTGTTTTCTAATTTATATTAATCATTAAATAATACAAATATATAAGATATAACAAGACTTGCAATTAAACTTACGGATAATATTAAAAGACCGAGATAATATACAATTTCGAAAGGTAATATATAATTACTAACTGTTATATTTAATATATAAAATGATATATTAAAATTTGTTTTTTTATGATTGGTTTAGGCACGACCTGCAGATTACGCTACCGCTTATCTGGCGTCTCAGGAACCTATATCGTTTCATAGATTCTGGATGGTTGATCCTGAAGCTATATATGATGAATGGTTTGCAGAGACAGATAGTATCCTCCCAAAACAACCGTTGAAACATACAGAATTATAATATAAAAAGTTTGTATAAAGTTTGTATTCAATAAATATCTTTTTTTATTTTCGTATTTTCGGTGCGTTCATATATCTGAAAAAAAATATATATATACAATATATATATTGTATATATGACTGAATATATATTAGTAAACACAATTTTACCAATTAAAATAAAAATATGAATATAAAAAGATAAAAAAACTTCTCTCTCGTACATCACTAAATTTTAGCACACACGAATGTAGCCTATAATTGGCTAGCTTTAAACCCTTATATTTCAAAAATTATTACTTAGAATAAAAAATCACAAATATTTTTACTGAACTTTTTGAGAATTTTCTTGCTATAGTATTTTGATTTATAAATTTCAGAACACTGTAGATATTGATATATGCACAATTCTGTAAATAGAGCGACGTGCATCATATATTTCAAATTCTTATGCATTTTAAAGGTATTTTTATTCCATACATATAGAAGATTGAAATAATTTGGAGACATTTCATATATATATATATATACGTGATATTTATACTATAATTAAATTCTATTTATATTATAATTTAGATCGTGTTTCTTTCCACCATGATGGACGTTCCAAGTTTTCTTTATCCCTGAATAGCCACTCCTTCATGTGCTTATATACCTATATGAAAATTTTCAGTTTATTATATATTAGAAAAAAAAATTATTATACTTAACAGCGATTCGATGTAAAATATTCAATGTTGTAACATAGTATTTTATACCTCGCCATCGGACATTCCTAGAGGAGAATTAAGAACGAAGTCTGGCGGTGCCAGGACGTCAACCAACGCAACCGCGTTGTCTAATAAGTCTCTACACAATGTTATAATTCCTTCCCGCAGAAAAACGTTTATGTTACTACTAGAAGAAGCGTAAGCACAGCCATACAAATCTCCTAATCTTTTTTCCAATGTTACAGCTCCGAACAGAGAGCACAATTTGATTAGTACCTCTCGTTCATTTACTTTCCATTTCGGATCTTGCAAACATTTGATAAAGTACATCATCAGAGCATGCTGTACAAAGGGAAACAAAAATTAAAAATTGTATCAATTTGATTTCTATAATAGTGTTGTAAATTAAATCAGTTGCAGAGTAAATTTATATAAAATTTTATATAAAAAAACATGTTAATTTAAAGTTTACACTTTAGCAAGGTGCTTAAGATGTTGTTTCCTCTGCCAATTGAATATAAATATATATATGTATAATTATATATTTCGTTTACCTCTCCATATACGAGAGACAAAGTCCGCGCCAATATTTGAGAATTGTTTCTTATGTCAAAATCAGACATTCCGTTTGATTTGAGATCTTTTACATGTTGATATGTTTTCTTTAAATAATAACATACCAACCACTTAAAAGTTAAGAGTAAATCTAAAACGGAGAAGCATAAGTCGTTCATTGAACTAATAATTTTTAACAGCATATATATACTTTATCATCAGCATAGAATTAATTTTATCATACTCTCAGGTTTCAATGTATTTTCGACAGTAGATTGATTAAATTTGGTATTCAGTATTTGTTCTGCGTCAACAAGAAAATCCGCGGAACCAAGCGGAGACGGCACGGGTTGTCCATTAATCACATTAGTCCATTGTGTTAATAACCAATGACTCGCTTGTTGAATAATTACATTATTCTCACCTTCGTATGTACAGTTTGCATCGTTATCAGCTCTTATCTCGCCAAAACGCGACACTAATAACAAGATGTCACAAAATGATTTCAATATTTATTTGTTAAATGATATATATGTATATAATCATTCAAATATTAGAGTGAATGAAGAACTAAGGTTCCCTGTTTTATTACGATTTTTATTTATTACTTATGCGTAAATTGGACTTATTGTTTTAAAATTTAAGCTGGAAATTGTCTATCTTTAAGATGTTTTTTATTTATACTATAATTAAATACTATTTATATTATAATTTAGATCGTGTTTCTTTCCACCATGATGGACGTTCCAAGTTTTCTTTATCCCTGAATAGCCACTCCTTCATGTGCTTATATACCTATATGAAAATTTTCAGTTTATTATATATTAGAAAAAAAAATTATTATACTTAACAGCGATTCGATGTAAAATATTCAATGTTGTAACATAGTATTTTATACCTCGCCATCGGACATTCCTAGAGGAGAATTAAGAACGAAGTCTGGCGGTGCCAGGACGTCAACCAACGCAACCGCGTTGTCTAATAAGTCTCTACACAATGTTATAATTCCTTCCCGCAGAAAAACGTTTATGTTACTATTAGAAGAAGCGTAAGCACAGCCATACAAATCTCCTAATCTTTTTTCCAATGTTACAGCTCCGAACAGAGAGCACAATTTGATTAGTACCTCTCGTTCATTTACTTTCCATTTCGGATCTTGCAAACATTTGATAAAGTACATCATCAGAGCATGCTGTACAAAGGGAAACAAAAATTAAAAATTGTATCAATTTGATTTCTATAATAGTGTTGTAAATTAAATCAGTTGCAGAGTAAATTTATATAAAATTTTATATAAAAAAGCATGTTAGTTTAAAGTTTACACTTTAGCAAGGTGCTTAAGATGTTGTTTCCTCTGCCAATTGAATATAAATATATATATGTATAATTATATATTTCGTTTACCTCTCCATATACGAGAGACAAAGTCCGCGCCAATATTTGAGAATTGTTTCTTATGTCAAAATCAGACATTCCGTTTGATTTGAGATCTTTTACATGTTGATATGTTTTCTTTAAATAATAACATACCAACCACTTAAAAGTTAAGAGTAAATCTAAAACGGAGAAGCATAAGTCGTTCATTGAACTAATAATTTTTAACAGCATATATATACTTTATCATCAGCATAGAATTAATTTTATCATACTCTCAGGTTTCAATGTATTTTCGACAGTAGATTGATTAAATTTGGTATTCAGTATTTGTTCTGCGTCAACAAGAAAATCCGCGGAACCAAGCGGAGACGGCACGGGTTGTCCATTAATCACATTAGTCCATTGTGTTAATAACCAATGACTCGCTTGTTGAATAATTACATTATTCTCACCTTCGTATGTACAGTTTGCATCGTTATCAGCTCTTATCTCGCCAAAACGCGACACTAATAACAAGATGTCACAAAATGATTTCAATATTTATTTGTTAAATGATATATATGTATATAATCATTCAAATATTAGAGTGAATGAAGAACTAAGGTTCCCTGTTTTATTACGATTTTTATTTATTACTTATGCGTAAATTGGACTTATTGTTTTAAAATTTAAGCTGGAAATTGTCTATCTTTAAGATGTTTTTTCAGTAGCCCAAACAACTGAAAATTGAAGGGAGAACTCAGATCTGGGTTGCAAGGAGAATGCTTCATAATATTCCAATCAAATAATTAGAGAAATTCTTGTAAGGTCTGGCATTATTGTGAGAAAAATTTACAAGAAAGAAGCCTTAGCTTTCCTAGAGAGAATTGCCTCCTTGATGATGCAGCAGTACAAAATGCAGTTCACACAAGAATGATTTAAACATCAAGAGCCGGATTTTTACCGAAAGGATTTCTTCAAATTTATGCCAAGGTGAACAAGTGTATCAATCTTCTTGAAGACTATATCGAAAAGTAGTCATTTGCTTCCATTTTAACACAAAAGTAATAAAACAGGAATCTTATTTTTTGATCTATTCTAGTGGAACCGTTCTTACTTTTTAAATATCCATGACCACCGCAAGATTCTCTGCAGTCCTGAATCATATCACGAGCGATCCACGAGCATAATGGTTTTGTTGCACAAGACAATACGTGAATCTCTATTTGTATATCGGTGTTTAAATCTCCTTTCGTAAAATGGTTCGCAATAAATTCAATCATCGTCTTATAAAACTCGGTTGAAAATATCTTTATTGCGTATGTTGCTGCTAAATGTGGAAAGATTCGCCATTGCTAGAACGTACGCGTTTCGCATAGATCGTAATTGCAATTTTTGTGTCTTCCACGAATTAAATTTTTGACATAAAAATCCTGTTTATATGTACTTGCGTTTGATATTCTATAATTGGTAGCTCATCGTCCTCATCCGTAGGACCAAACTGTTTCCTAACTGCACAATAGCGTGTGGCTATCGTCACCGCGAGAATCATATAATGTGCGCACATCAAGGGAACAGTACTACGGCCTGATGATAGTGCGCTCAATGACAAGCCTAATACACACAAGTAAAAAGTGAAAATGGAATTAATTGCGAAAAAAGATACCTACCATATCTTCTTCGTCCGTCCTTTACAGCGAGCACATACTTTCCATCCTCGCTGACATTAGCCGTACGATTTAACAGGCAGATACGCGATATAGAATACTTGTCGAATATCATGAATCCATTGTCTATTCCATTAAGTCCTAACTTTTCGCCCATGTCACCAATGGTGACACCGGGAAAAGGTAGGTGAGTTTTTGGATCCCGAATTGGTACGACGAAAAGATGCAGATTACGGTTCACTCCATCCGGTGTAATTAACTGGGCAAATACGATGGCATGCGTAGCACATTTTCCTGTATTCATAAAATATGCAAAGAGTAATGAAGCATTATTGTTTTGATTATTAATTTATTATTGACTGAAAATGAAACTCACCTAAACCGCCTGACCAACATTTTGCGGCTTCAAAATCGGGTGTATGAAGAATAAAACTTCTTGTCGCTATATCATACGTTGCTGTGGTTCGTATGCCTCTTGCATTAGAGCCATGGGAAATTTCAGTTAGAGAAAGACAACACATATACTAAACATAATTAATATATATCAATAAATATTATATACTTTATAATAAAAATGATCATCTCTGTGTTTTGTCCATACGTACATTTCCATTATTCAATTCTTCAACAAAATGATGATGTTGTTTAGTGCCTAATGCTAATATAGCGACTGGTACCGCGCTGTGTATCAAAGATAGTTTTACCGATAGAGATCCGTCATACTCGAAAATATAAAAGAATTTTTCCCGGGCATGCACCGCCTAGAAAAATTATGCGGAAATATAATGTTTAAATATAGAAGCAACAGTATGTGTATTTCATCATTTTTTTTAAATATTTTTATATTAATATCAAAAATTTATAACAAAGATATTTTTTGTAACTATGTGTGTTATTGAAATTAAATAATTATTAGTTATACAATTAGTAACATAATTACATTTATGTTGTTGTCACAAAGTACTTTTATTTGAGCATTGCAGCGTCTTCGAACTTCATCCAAGCTTATTGGCCCTGTCGGCCTTTGAAATGCTGGATTGATTCTGACAAGTTCCCATAATTTTTCCTAAGCATTTAATCATTTAGGATATAGTTATGTAATATAAGCTACATAGAGCTGTAGATTTAACGCATATATTAAAATTTATCAATTCCAATACCTGAAATCGCACATTATCCTCGCCTTCTAAAGTTAACTTGAACGATTTCCAGTCAAATGTTGCTCGTTTCCTGTAAGTATCTAATGGTCCCTTAGGCAAGTCCCTAATTAAATCACTGACGATGGACATTTCTTTTTTTCCTCTTTGAAACTATAATTGCAAAGTATTTTACAAATAAATAACGGTCACAAGAAAATCTTAAAAGTGACGTGAACTGCATGGAATTATAACAACGTATATCCTATACATTCTATTCGTAGTACATTATTTGTTGCACTTACTTTTTTTGCAATTGAGTCAAAAGTCATACATATTTAAGATTACTACTATTGTACTATTGTTAGATCATAAAATTAAACAAACAAAATCGAATTAAGCATAGATAAAACAAAGCGCGAAAAGAAAAATCTCTTAAAAAGTTCATTAATAAACATTGATCTTCAGTATCGTAAAATGCAGATAATAGCGAATAAAGAAAAACAACAATTTTTATGCTTTTTTACGGATCATGTTATGTATCTTTTTGCGGATATTAAATGATAAATGCAAAACTCAAAAAAAGACAAAAAAAAACAAATCTGAAATTAAAAATAAATAGCTTGTTCGACTTCAGTGATAATATAAATGCTAGCAAATAAAATAGTGATTTCCTATTTGTTTTTTTTTTTGTAAATTATACTATGTATTTTTTGTAGATAAGAGAATAAAAAAAAAAAGAGAAAGAGTGATTACGACAATCATTTGACAATAATGCACTTGAACTTAGAATTTTTAAATTTTTGATAGATTAGACAAGATCTAATTGTTTTAACTCGCAATAATTTGGCCGATTGGCTTTTCAAAATCGGTGAAAATTGCAAACTTTGAAATTGGTAAGATTTTTATCCAAGTTTGCAAAATTCGTGTTTTAAATCTTTTGCGAATGAAAGAAGTAACATGATTTTAAGATAAAAACTACAAGCAGTATTTTTATAAAACTAAAAATACAAATTATATGAAAGTAATAAACTTCTCAGTAATTAAGGCTCATGGATGCGAACAAATTTGATTTTGGAGAGAGAAAAAAAAAGAGAGGAGGGAGGGGAAGAGGGGAGAGAGAGAGAGAGAGAGAGAGAAGTAGCTCTTATTATTATTAATTAAATTATTATTTCAGATAATTATTTATTTCAAAATGTTGACACACAGAGAGAATATATTTAAATACAATAAATATATATTCACGAATCTGAATTTTCTCTCATCAGACCAACATTCTAATGGTTAAAATAACTTATTTAGCACAAAATAAGGCGTTTGTTTCGATTTTCATTGAATCAATCAGAGTCTAACATACTTAAAATAGATTGGATATATGCGAGATTACCGGCGATCATGTTGCATAAATAAACGCAATCGTCTGCAAACGAGATTATTAATGATTTATATCGCGAAAGAGCGCAAAGAGGTAAAAAATTCCAAGAGATCGATAGTTTGATACAAACGAAAGATTCGAATGTGACTAGGCCAAGTGAGAATATAAGTATTTCGACATGCGCTTCGAAATAACGACGATGGTCGTTATTCTTTTTTTGCAATTTATCCGCGCTATCATCGAAAGGTAGGACAATTCATGTAAAATGATCACGTGTTCGAGCAAAAGAGTGTACACTTCCTGGATGTACGAAATATATTTAAAAGAGTTGCGCTTTTTTATTCAATTATGAATGTTTTAAAAAAATTGAGAAATAATGAAAAAGAAAATTGCTTGGAATCGAATTCATCGTCAAAGAAAAATTAATTCCGTTGTGCAAGTAACATTACGAGGCAATTTTAGTAACATTACGTGCGAATTTTATTTGTGTGTGTGGTGGCAGAATATTTCTTTTTTATATATTTGGGGAAAAAAAAGAGTAATTAAATTATAAAAGATGAAATTGAAAACTCGCACTTTATGTTCATTAATACCAATTGATTTCTATTATAGTGGATATTAATTGATTTAAATTACTTACCTCTTGTATAGCTGTTATAATTAATTATCGTTAATACAGATGATCTAGATGTGTTGCTTGATTCTGTGATCAGAGTCTGTGGATCAATAAAGCGTATTTTACACTAAAAATGCGCGATCTCTAGAGAAGTATTTGCAAATAAATAAAAGTACCTCTATAATATTACAGGAAAAGTTTTGAATTACATCGATGCACGCGCGGGATAGACGATCTGAAATCAGTGATCGAGCAAATCATAGAGGAAATCGCCGCGCGCAGCAATTGCATAATCTTTATTACAGATACCACTTATCGCGGGCTGATTGATGTCCATTCTGTTGAAATGTCTTCTTTTTTATCAAAATATGATGTAAGTATTATTAAGGCCAAAAGATTTCCCACTTCGAAAATCTATAAAGAGAAACATATTAAATAAGTAATTAACAATTATATGTATTTGCACATATGACTTATATCTTATTTTTAATTACATCAAATTTATAATCAGATTTGATGATAAACATTTCTTTATAAATATGTATTGTACTATTTGCCTTCAGATCGCCATACGCGATAACCAAGATTTTTCGCGATCGAAAAAATTAACGAGAATATTTGAACATATCAAAACGATAGGTTGTGACGCGTATGTTATACTAATCGCCAATGGACTTCTAACGTCGCGATTCTTGCAATATGCCGAAAGGTAAGCAATTAAGGACTCAGTCTATTCACTCAAAAAAATGTCTTGCTGATATAGGTAGATTTCTAGGTGTCACAACAAAGATTTATCGCTATTTTTTATATCTGTTAGAATATTGTCTGTTACATATAGAATTTATAGCAGCAATATTCTAATAATATCTTCTAGAAAATTTAGGTCCCATTGCCAAATGTTAATCACTGCATTGGATAAATATGAGTTTCGATACTACAGAACGATCTTTGTGAGAAATATAACTGCCAATTATAACTGCAGCATCGAAAAATTGAGAAAAATTGTTTAAAAGAGCTAGATAGATTGAGCGCGTTATACAAATATGTTAGACGTGAGGATTATATATTCATTTGTTTCTTGCCGCTAATTTTTTCTGTCTACCACAGCCAAACTTTATAACAAGTATGATTGGCCTTAACATGGATAGGCGCCACAGAAAAACATTCTTTCTAAATTTCACAAACAGTTCAGATATAAATTCTGTCTCTGTCACTTAGATCGATTAAATGCGAAACATATGCGATATCACAGTATTTGCTAATCATTTATGTACCTCAGTTAATTTTGCGCACCAAGAAAATTTTTGCTGTAGTTGCAATACCACTTTTTTCAGTGTATTCTCTAACCGTTCATTTCTAATATAAATTACGATACAAAATCAAATTTTATTATTATTATCATATATTTTTACAATCCTGTTACATACGAATCTAGGCATGCTAGGTATATATGAAAATATAAAGAAAAAAACTGAAAAAAACATTCTTTTTATAATACAAGAACAACAGAAAATAACTTTCTTCAAACACAAGAAAAGTAGTAATTGTTTCCTTGTAGTCTTTTTAACGCTGAATACGATTCCAGCTTTCAACTTTTTCTATTAAAATTTTAAGAAATTAGCGAATAAAGTTGCACATAGGTCTATTTTAACCCTCCTTAAGGGGGGTATTTTTTCATTTTATAGCTATGGTATGTGACGTGTTAAAGTATTTAGCATAAAAAACTACAAAGGAGGTTATTCTCTTTCTTGTGTGTATTTTTTTAGTTGAATTGTGTAATTATTCACACACACACACACACACACACACACACACACACACACACACACACACACACACACACACACACACACACACACACACACACACACACACACACACACACACACACACACACACACACACACACACACACACACACACACACACACACACACACACACACACACACACACACACACACACACACACACACACACACACACACACACACACACACACACACACACACACACACACACACACACACACACACACACACACACACACACACACACACACACACACACACACACACACACACACACACACACACACACACACACACACACACACACACACACACACACACACACACACACACACACACACACACACACACACACACACACACACACACACACACACACACACACACACACACACACACACACACACACACACACACACACACACACACACACACACACACACACACACACACACACACACACACACACACACACACACACACACACACACACACACACACACACACACACACACACACACACACACACACACACACACACACACACACACACACACACACACACACACACTTGAAAGATTTATACCTAAGCATGTAAAGGGAATTTATTACCAAGCGCTCGAAAGAATTCTCTCTCTCTCTCTCTCTCTCTCTCTCTCTTTCTCTCTTTCTCTCTTTCTTTCTTTTTTTCTCGTCGCGTCGAGTTGCGCGAAGCGTCACAAAGAGAGAATCGGCGCGGTGCGTAGGGTTTTAACCGGCGATAAATAACGATAAATTCCTCCCACGTACGCTCGAGAGAGTACGAGTATTGTGAATACGCGCGCACGGTGCAATACCTTCCTCCTCCTCTCTCTTCGGGAGATAATTTCAATGGGCTCGCGGACTGTGCGCGTACCATGCGCACTGCGCGCGGCACAAACGTGCTCGCGAAGCTGATGCATAAATACCTATAAATATGACACGGCGGGGCCCGCGGTGTGTAACGTCGCATATTAAATTACATTCTTAAGCAGCCGCATCGGCCGACGCGCACGGCAGAGGCCGGACAGTATGGCGCGCATCAAGTCAGCGGGGCTGATTAAACGCAACCACGGAACGTGGTGTATCTTCACAATGAGACGGACGAAGAGAGAGAGAGAAATAACCGCCGCATCGATGAGCGAGAGAAGGAGAGACACGCTCGTTCTGTTCTGGGCATTCCCCAGAACGTGCAAGCCTGATTCAAGCGCTAGAGTTGCTGAAGAGATATGGGGAAGGGAGAGAGAAGAAAAGAATACGCGAGGAAGACGAGGAAAACGAGATAGTGAGAGAGAAGGACAAAGGAGCGCAACGCGAGTAGGCATACACCACCGGAGGCTAGGGATGCTAATTATTCTGGTTCATGCGAGCAATTTGTCGAGTACCCGGGGAACGTATGTTTAATACCTGCGGGGCTCCCGGCTGCCCCGCGGGTATTTACATCTGCGGCGAATACCGCGGCTATATAACGCGGATACGTCGAGAATTATCCCGGGATTACAGTGTGTGTCTTCGTGAGCCAGCGAGAAAGAGCGGGGCTCTCCGCTCCGTGGCGGAATCGCGAATATGCGCTCGCGTAAGGGTAGCAATCTCGGGATGATGTACACGCGCGCGCATGGGGTTAACAGGAACCGCGATTTTCCAAGCCGCGCTTCTCTCTCTCTCTCTCTCTCTTTCTCTTTACCGAGATGTGTGTTATCACGCGCGCGCGCGGAGGTCTATAACGTTCTTTTTTTTCTCCGCTCTCTCGACAGAAATTATGCGCTAGTCATTTCACTGAGGCCTTGTATCTGGAATATTAGCGCAGTTCGCGGAACATGTATTTACGAGCGAATGCTCATGCGGGAACTGTGCTTCGATTGCAGGGGTAACGTCGACTTCACGCTTGATAGCACTTTTTCGAATAATTTTGATGGCACACACACACTCACGCGCGGAAAAAGGATTAAATGTCATATTAATTTAATCGTAACACATTTCTTTTAAATACAATATTTTTATATTGCGTTATAAACTATGTCTATGTGCATTTTAGTAAATTCATACATTAATTTAAATAATTCAAGGGAAGAGATGTAAAATACATTTAAATTCATTATTTACGAAACAAATTTAAATTAAATAATTCGAATATATGAAGCAATACGTGGAATTTAGACGTCTTGAAATCCTCTAATTTGATCTCCTCGCGGGAAGCTTGTATTTCGCAAAAGGATAAAATGATATTAAGGGATAAAATGTTGTACGAAGAACGCAACATCGTGAAGGATCGAGAATTATTTCTGGATTACAGCCGACGCGTGCACTCGTAATTTTTCTAAACCGGGGCCCCGTTTGTAATGGTGAAG